CCTTTCTTACACCGCCGCTCACATCATCATCTTACTCCACTCATCTCACACAAAACCCATATTACACCGCCCATCCTACACCGCCCATCTTCATCTTACACCGCCCAGCTTATACATCCCCCGTATTTCACCACTCATCTCACGCCGCTCATCTTACACCACTCGTCTCACACTACCTATCTTTCACCACTCATCTGACACCACCCACCTTACGCCACCCATCTTACACCACTCATCTGACACCACTCATCTGACACCACTCATCTCACACCACTCATCTCACACCACTCATCTTACACCACTCATCTCACACTACCTCTTACACCACCCATCTGACAGCGCCCATCTTACACCACCCATCTTACACCACTCATCTGACACCACTCATCTTACATTCATCTCACACCGCTCATCTCACACCACTCATCTCACACACCTCATCTCACACCACCCATCTTACACCACCCCATCTTACACCACTCATCTGACACCGCCCACCTTACACCACTCATCTCACACCACTCTGTGAACCCGGAGGTGCAGCGCTTAGCTTGGTGAACCTGGAGTGGAGATTTTGTGGCAGGCGCAGAGCGGGAGGAGCTGCGGCGCGCCTGGTCGGCGCTGGGCCGCGGCTGCCTTTTGTGTGGGAGGCGGAGCGGTTGGTGAACCTGGAGCGGAGATTTCGTGGCAGGCGCAGTGCACAGAGTCCAGAGCCTGCCGGACCAGCTGCGGCGCGCGTGGTCGCCGCTGGGCCGCAGCTGCATTTTGTCGTATGGCAGGCGCAGCGCTTGGCGAAGCTGGAGTGCAGATTTCGTGGCAGGCGCAGTGCCAGAGCCTTCAGGACCAGCTGCAGCGCGCTTGGTGAAGCTGGAGTGGAGATTTTGTGGCAGGCGCAGTACACCACTCATCTTACACCACTCATCACACACCACTCATCTTACACCACTCATCTCACACCACTCATCACACACCACTCATCACACACCACTCATCTCACCCCACTCATCTTACACCACTCATCACACACCACTCATCTTACACCACTCATCTCACACCACTCATCACACACGATTCATCACACACGACTCATCACACACCACTCATCTTGCACCACTCATCGCACACCACTCGCCACGCACCGCTCATCGCACACCGCTCATCACGAAGGCTAGCAGCTAGCATCAGCTAGCTGGAGTTGTCCTTGCTTTAGCAAGTGAGGGGCTGGAACCCTCGAGATCGCCGCATCACGTGAAAACTTCATATGTAGAGGGCCCCCCCCCCCGCGGGTTCAACTCCCCCTGGGACGCCTCTGGGACGCACACCTCTTGGACACCTGGACGCACACCTCTTATGGCATCCACTTTGGTTCAACTCCTCCGTGGAGGTTTTGGGATACGATGCAACAGATTCAACAGCTTCACAAGCTAAGGTTGGCTGTGTCTTTGCTGTTTGTGTGTCTTACATGTTCACAACGTTTTACCGCATGAGCGAGACCTTGTGAACCATCCCTCCAACAGCCACAAGCCCATGCCTATGAAAACATATTTGCCTCATTCCGCTTGATGTCCCACCAGTCCTTTGTCACTGGACGGCGCTGTATGCTTCGTCTCCACTGACACGGATGCATCCCTGCTAGCTTTCGTCACCTACCCTCGGCCTCAAGTCTTACACCACTCATCTTACACCACTCATCACACCCCACGCATCACACACCACTCATCACACACCACTCGTCACACACCACTCCACACACACCACTCATCTTACACCACTCATCACACGCCACTCATCTTACACCACTCATCATACGCCACTCATCACACACCACTCATCACACACCACTCATCACACACCACTCATCCTACACCACTCATCACACACCACTCATCACACACCACTCATCACACACCACTCATCACACACCACTCATCACACAGCACTCATCCTACACCACTCATCTCACACCACTCATCACACACCACTCATCACACACCACTCATCCTACACCACTCATCACACACCACTCATCACACACCACTCATCTTACACCACTCATCGCGCACCACTCATCTTACACCACTCATCTTACACCACTCATCACACTCTCTATACCTTCGACCTTTAGACCTCAAAACACTGTTTGGGGTCTTTGCCGGGATTGTCTATAGTTGTCAATGTGTCACAGGCACGACACCTTGGTCGGACCAGCAATGCTTGGGCAGGTGCCGACGTAGCATACGGGGAGAGGTACTACATGCAGTTGCTCTGACAGCATTGTTGTAGGATGCACAGGACGTGCATCGTTTGAAGTGTCCAATCCGTGAGCCATTCAACAGGTTTTACAACGACAAAAGCTGCACAGATTCATATCAGGTGCGCTTTGCTGTGGATCAACGTTTTCCCAAATGTCATGTTTATGCTGTGCTGCTCTCTCGGCAGGTGACGTCCAGCAGTTTCTTGGCAAAAACTCAGCATGGAGACTGTTTCAAACCTACCTGGCTATACATGCCTCAACATATAGTTGTCCCAAAGCTTTTGCTGGTTTTGTATTTTGCAAGGTTTTTTGTTTTTTATTCGTGTTTAAGAACAGACTGGGAGAAGAGTGACGGACAATGGTCTATCTGCCCTTTCCCCACGAAAAATCTTTGCAATAAGGCAACCTCCCGGATGGTTCAGCTCTTTTGAGTTTGGGCGCAGACTTGTCAAGGCACCTTCCAATACAACAAGTTCCAGTGGCGAGTTTACAGAGGTTCAGAACATTGCTTGGACTATGTTGATGCAGCTTGGACTTCACAACCCACAGATGTGTTTCAATATACATCATGAACATAACATTCTTCGCTCTGCACGATGTCCAATTGGCGTACGACCTTATGCTGAGGCAAGCGAGCGCAGTGCAAACTTTACTGCAGCAGCAACATGGCTGAGCTTGGAAGGGACACATGCAAAATCTACAGCTTCTTATAAAGACAATAAAGACAATGTGCAACTTCTTGATTTTTGAATAGGGAGACCGATGAAGTCATAATTGATGTTGGAATTGCTTCTGAATCCCATAGGGATACTCCATGATACGTGAGAGACTCTCTGACAGCATTTTCATGTGTTGCTCTTCAACAATTATCCTTTCTCCCCCTTGCTAAAGTTACCAAGTGTCTTGTCTCCAGACTTAGTATTCCTCAATGATCAACTCTAAGTTGCCCAGTTGCAAATCGCTGGCGCTTTACTAGGTCATCAACCAGGATGTTCTCAACTTCAAGCTGATGTGCGGCAACAATGATGGCCTGGGCAACGGCGTCATGGTGACTTGACCAATTTGGAGACTCAAACTGTGAAAGCACATGAACATGTATTGAAACGATGCAGAGTTTTAGCAGGCTTTAGAGGCAACCCAAATAAAGGATATGCAGCCCTTTGGACAAGGTCAGGAGGCACGTGGGGAGTGTCTGCTCTGGAGCCTCAGCAGCTCCAGCCTACTGGCGGGACGTGCTTCTTGACAAAGATGGGCCAGCTCATGTCATGGCATTTTCAGGGCATTGCCGTGGTGTAAATATCTACTCGCATCTGAGAGTTGGGAAGTAGTTGTAAAATGCATTCATCCTTCCTGCAGCGCTGCAGTTGTGCAAGATCTTGCAAGGAAGAGAAGACTGATGGAGCATTTAGTGAGCTTGCTGTGTGAGGTTCTTTCCGATGAATCTATACATGCTACAAGATTTCTTCAACGGAGTGACTTGGCCATGCTTTGCCATCTTGCAAGTAGACGCGCGACAGAGTGCAGTCAGTGACTAATGGTGCTTTGTCTGAGGAGTGCGTTGCCTGGAGAAATATGTTTGTGAAATTTGCTGCTGGGCTGGAGTGAGGAACACCCTGAAGCGGTAAAAGAACGCAATTCCGTGTCGTGCTGATCTAGATCAACTATTTCCAGGACTTCTTGCTACATCATGCTCATTTTTGTCCCGTGCCAACCAAGGACAAGAAGTGGAATACTCAGCACTACCCTGACTGCTCGCAGAACGCCTGCAAATCTGGCTATTGTTCTGGAGGTGGGATGAGTGATCGTGAGGTGTCAATGTGCATTGGAGCTCGCTCAGGACGGCTGCAGGAGCCTTACACCGGTGCGACAGCTTATCAGGGAGACATCAGGACAGGATTGTTTCTATTTGTTTCTTTGTGAGAAGTGAGGCTTCAGAGTGTCTTAAAGCAGGACGCCTGTTGCCAGGGCGCAAGTGATTCCCAGCAACGCGCAGGCGAGAGAACACAACAAATAGATATATACTCTGACGTTCAGCGGCAGAAGGTCATGTTTGAGGGATGCCCAAGGGAGAAAGGTGACACCCATGGACACCTGTTTAGGGAGAACATCAAATCGGGAATGACAAATAGGCAAAGAGCAAACTTGGACATTGCAGCTGACCAACCACGTAGCCAGGCTCTTGCACCCGGATTGGTTGCTTCGATTGCGCCTCTTAGCTGCTGCATTCGAAGCTGTAACCGGACACTGAGAGTTGAGAAGGTCTGCACCAGAGTTTGCTGGTTTGGCACATTTCTTCATCGCTTTTGACATGAGCTGCAAGGTTCGCTTTGGACTGGGGCTTGTGAGAGGCCAAGGTTGGCCTTGCTTTGAGATCTGCACTCCTTTAGCAGACGTGCAATCACCCAAGCTAATTCATAGCGGCTACATTGCCTGCATAGTCCCTGCATAGGTGCAGAATGAGCTGTTTGTTGCAAGGGCGGTCTTCCAGCTATTTGCTCCAAAGGTTGACTGCTTGCAGACACACTGCTTTCATTTGAGCTCGGCATGCTAATGAAGGCATAGTCAAGCTAAGCTTGCCTAGGCCTAGATTTCCCATGCACAGGATGTTTCTGTGCGGGCGGGAGGAGGAAAAGCAGCATCCTGCAAGCTGATGGCCATTTGAGTGATGGGTCGAAGGGTCTGGACAAACTCGGAAGGCTTGGGAGTGCTGGCAATCTGGGAGGAACCACAATTACTTTTTTCTGAGGCAGAAACAGGTAGGTCAAAAGTGACCAGCCATGGCCCGGGCAGCTCAGGCTACTCATCCGAATTCATCCAATTTTTTGAAGAATGCTTCGATACAGGTAAGCTGGGACTTCCTGAATCTCACAGCAACACTTGATCAAGCAATATTGACACTCAATCTAGCACGACGCTTAGGTGCAAAAATTGCCGAAGAGAATGCGTGGCTTTAAAACAGGATTGCGAGAAAGCACCACGTACATCTGTAAAGTGCTGCCAGAATCAATACTGTATTACCAATATTTACCAATCACATGGTGGAGGTTGGAACGACCTTGTCAAAGTCAGCAAAGACGCAGCTGATCGGACAGGTGATTTCCGCTCGCTTTGCGGAGCGTGCAGAGCACCAGCACCACTCTGAGAAAGGATCACCGACCACGCATAAACACGATGTACCTAATGTCTAATGTAGCACTTTTAAGGACTTACTAGGTACCCGGTATCCTAACAAAAGGCCAGATGTTTTGGAATTGAACCGGGCTTGTTGAGGCTTCTTGACTTCTACAGCGAGATGAAGGAAGTTAGAGATGCAACGCGATCTCAGGCATGAGCTGAATTAGTGGAGAACCAAACGTTGAACCGCTGAAACCTATTATCCCATGATCCTATGAGTCACTTATCTAGTTTCATGACATAGTTTCGTAATCAAGTCATACTATCCGTTTTTGTTCTTTTGCAGAGGTTCGAAAAATCCCATTCACAACTGCCTCGGGCCCGGAAAACTGTTGCCAGTTAGACCTGAAGGCAAAGAGCTGTTGAGTCCATTTGCAGTCAAATGCAAAGGAGGATGTTTGTAGTTCCGCTTGCATTGCGCTTTTGGCTACAATCTATGGACCCAGGCAACTCGCGCCTGTCGTGCAGCAAGGAAGGCGACAAAGAAAGACAGATTGCTTTCAAATGCCAGAGTGAAGTCGTAGTCAGGCAGCTAGCTGCGTTTGGCTGCCTTTGGCCACTTCTGATGCACTTGCGCTTGCTCCAAAGCAGTTCAAAACAAACTCGCGACACGGCTATATATATATATATTAATATGTAGCATTGTTTACTTGCAGCAATCAAGCCAATCACCTGTATGCCTCTATGTGCATTTTACAGCCGATAGAAATTCCACGTGAGCTTTGGGCGATGTTGGAAGGGTTTGCAGAGAAAGTTGAAGTACTACGAACATCTACGAACCGTGAACTTGTCGACGCCATGGAAGAACCATTCCCACCTTTGGCACCTGAAGGCGGTGAGCTTTCGGAGGAGATTCGTTCCTACCCCTTGCAACTTGAGCGTGAAGAGCTCCTTGGAGCTTTGAACTTTCTAAACATTGAGAAACCTGTGCAACCGCAGGAGGCTGAGTGTGAACAGGCGGCTCTTCTGGAGGCTGAGAATCTTACACGAAAACCCGCTCGCATCCTTGACCTGATGGCCTGATGCAGCTGCAGTTTGTTTGACAGGGATAAAGAAGCTTTTGTTTCTGCTAGAAAGCATGGGAGTTCATCGTGTTCAAGCTGCAAAAAATGCCCGTCCTCCTGGACAGCAACCACCAACGATGGTGCTTTTTTCCAGTTTTGTGTGAACTAGTGCGTTTTTAATGCAACATTGTGCCTCCTGATAGTTGCAACAGTCGTTCTCTCTGGATTTCTTTGCACTTTGCAGGTGGCCCTCGACCTTTCCGAAGTAGGCGACCTCTCTAGCTCTCTTGAGAAGCTAACGGCAGCGATATGCCTTGGCAGCGGCCACAGAGAATGAACACATGTCTTCAATTTGTCTTCAATGTAGAACTTCTTTTGTCTGAAGTTCAGAGACAGACTCGTCAACAAGGTTCAACAAATGTGCACCCTCCACTCGCTTGTTAATCCTTTGAAGGTTTCTATCAAGCGACATGCAGGTGCAAAGCTTAAAGACATTTAAAGACGTCAAACTCTCAGGCAGTGCCACCTCGTTGATGTACTGTCGCAGAGCAGACCTGCTGCTGCGGTGCCTGGACTTGGCTTTCAGACCTTGGCAAAGTTGAATCGGAGAATTGGAGGAAGAAAAGAAAAGAAAGGAAACAAATTGAATGAATGAAACGATATGAACCGCGTGCACATGTATTTGGGATGAAGGGTTTTTCTTGTGTGTCCGGTGCCTGCACTCCAGCGCCTGCATGCTTGAAAGGTTACAGCGTCCGCTTGCAACTATCAATGACTGCTCTGCGGCTTTGGCAGTGAACGCAGGCTCTGCAAAGGCCTGTGCGGCTTTTTGTTCCATGTAAACGTGCCTCTGGCACATGGGTTTGTACTTTGTAACTTGTCAAATTTATGTAAATGTAGAGTTAGGATGTTTGACTTATATAGGTGAATCATACCCCGAAGCATACCCCCAAAGCATACCTCCGAAGCATACCTTATAGTCAAGCATCCCGGCCCGGAAACTTTGAATAATACATATCTTCGTTCAAGCGAGCGTCATGCATGGTCCCAAAGTCATCCATGCGCGAGTCGTTTCATGCGATAACCACACCAACCTGTGCCACACGTGAACTGTAGTAGAATGCCATCACGAATACGAGCTTTTTTCCAGGCCTATAAGATCAGGGCACGGGCTCATGCGCAGCTCGAGAATTGGACGGAGGCCTGCTAGACGTTTTGTTGAGAGTGCACAAGTGAGGCTTAAAAGCTTTGCAGCCTTTGCAAAATTCTTTTCATTTCTTCCGTCCTTTTGGTCTCAAAATTTCAAGGCACAATCCGATTTCCAGAAGAGTTTGAAGATCGACTTCAATGAGGTGCAATGTGCTCGGAGAGTTCCCGACTATCGCGACCTAAGACCCATGCTAGGCAACAGAGGAGGAAGCGAAGCTGGTAGAGTCAAAACTGGCAAAAGCTTCGGAGGCAGGGTAAAAGCTTCAGCAGCTCCTTGGTTGTTTGTTCATCCCAAATGGTTCGAACAGTATTGGTATTTGGAGTTCATAGATATGCCAGGAGCACTTGCAGCGCTGGGAAGTTGTTGGGGGCGCAGACAAAGGTGGTGTTGTGGTGCGGAAGGGATTCGAGCTGAAGTCTTCAGAGGCCAGGACCCGGACTTCCCGTACGGGAGCTATTGCCATACTTCCACCTACTGATCTAATTTCTGTTATTTCACTAGATCACAATAGCTCCTCTAACTACTTGCAGTATTACTTTCACCCTCGAGCCACAGGGTCCTTTTCCCTCTCTGTTCTCAAGACCTGTTCTTGAATTCTAGCAAGGGCTCTTTCAATGGCTTTATCAAGGATCTGCCAGCTTGTTGCAAGTGCGACCAGGCTTCTTGCCGACTATGCACTGGAGCTATCGTGGAGGAAGTTTCGGAAGAACTCGACAGAGCAACCAACTGATCAAACCAGTCAAGCAGCCCAAGCCTTTCTAAGTGACTTTCTCTGAGTATGGGTCAACTGACTTCGTCATGCTTTGCGCATTTTGCACAGGAGCTGGAGCTAAGGGGTGAGCGGTTAAGATATCGCCGCCTGAGTGGCACCGGTCCAGATGAAGGTGAGTATTTTCTTTTTTTGTATATTTTTACAATAAACACATCTATATGTATATATATATATATACATATATATATACATACACTTGTGAATTTAGACTTTATTTATGTTTTTCTTTTTTACAGTTAAAGGGGGTGTGGGGGGGGTGGTTGCCAGAGGGCCAATCTCGGAGAGGCTAACCAGAGCCTGGTGGGGGAGAGCGCAAAAAAGCGGAGGCCCGGAGGTAGTGAAAAATGATTGTTTTTGGGGTGTTGTGATGCAAGTGATGTAATTGACGGCGAACAGTGCATCATCACTCACGTGGATGAGAGGAAAAGGGAAGCCAAGGGGATGTGAAAAGCGGTTTGAACTCACCCTCAGTTGCGGGCAAGCTTAGCGGTGGTTGGGGGCGCCCCTTTTTAGTTGCCATACCGAAGAGGGCACTCCCTGCCAAACATCACCACTTCCAGCTACTCCTTGTCCACTCACCCCTCACGAAAGCCTGCCGCTAGCCTCGCCCACGGGCTCCCACCCGTCTTTTCCCACTGATTGCCAGCACGCAGCAGGCAACCGCCCTTCACTTCCTTAGGGGTGCCCCCCCTCACCCCCGAAACAACCCCCACCAACACGAAAAAAGGCACCCCCCCCAACATGTATTCTACCTTCTCTTTCTACTCCTATTCAAGTGTCTGCAATATCGACTTCACTACATAAAGGTACGCTTTGCCCGATGTTCACCTATCACTTCATCTTGCACGCTCAAGGGGCTGCAATATCAACTTCACCACTTCCGGCAATTCTTTCTCCACTCTACCTATATACACATATGTCTCCTCCCGAAAGTCTCCCGATAACCTCGCCCCTCGACCCCCAATAACTGTCTTTGCTCACTGGTTGGCACCACACAGCAAGCTAGCACCCCTCACTTCCTTCGAGGGTGCCCTTGTTCACCTCCAATACGACCCCCAACCACGACGAAAAAAGGCACCCCCCCCGAACCTGTGCTATACTTTCTGTTTCTACCTCCTATGACACCTGCGATGTCAACTTCACCACTTCCAGCTACTCTTTCTCCACTCTACCCTCCAACACGCCCCTGACCTAAGACGAAAAAAGGCGGCCATGCCTGGAAACGCCAAGCTAATCCTGAGGGCACCCCCCTTGGCGCAAAGGCTGGCTTTCGTCCCCTCCCTTCTCAGGTGATGTGCTTTGAGTTTCGATGCAACACAACAATACAATGCAATGTATGCAATGAATGTGGCTTGGATACTCGTGCACTTCCAGGATGGATAAGTATCTCCTTGAAGGACAAGGCCGGCACGGCCGTACTATGCAATAGAGGAAGGTTTTGCTTAGATTTCAAGGATTTGTTGCAAGGTGGGTTGGTCAAAGTAGAGCAGGACGTGCCTTGGAGTTGCTTGATAGGGCGGTGGCACATGAGAGTCCTGCCAGGGAGAGGCATACTGTAGGTGATTCAGGGTTGCTGACTAGAGTTGGGTGCAACTCTTTGTGCATCTTGACGAAAGGCAGGAAACTTGTTGTTGACTTATTTCGGATGAATCCATGACACAATTTTGAAGGTCTTGGCCTGCCGACTCGCGAACAAGACAGCTGATGCAGAAGCCGATGCCTTGAGTCCTTGTGTTGCAAGCACTGCGCACTCCATGAAGCCAACAACGCATCCGAGGAGAACGAGAACTTTGAAGAAGACGAGCCACCTTTTCCAGAGATGGCACCCAACGACATCAAGGACGAGCCTGGCAACCCATGGGGACGGTCACTGCATTTTTCTTCTAGGTTTGTAACATTCCAGCAGACGTTCTCACCGCTTTCGGGACTTGATTCTCATCCTCAGGAGCTGGAGGATGATGCGCTTGAAAAGCAGCAGATGCTCAAAGCGCAGAGTGCAGAACTGGCTGACGAACAGCATTTTGAAGAAGCAATGGAGAAACTCACTGAGGCCAGACCGCAAGGATTCTCTCCAATCTCACGCTTGTTGGGTTTCTTGTGCTTCTTGTGAAGTGGAGCTGCTCTGCGTATTTCGTTTGTCACATCAATTGTGTTGCAGATTATTTGCCCGTAGGCGATCATTGTGGGATGCGCGACAGCGCTAATGTATGGGAGGCTTGTTGCTGCGTTGCTTGTGTGATACACACAATTGTTCTTGCAAGTAATGTTAGTCTGCCTACCTATCCTCAGTAACGGTGCACTTAACGATTCAGTTGTTCCGTTTTCAATCAACTACTGGTTCCGGCCATTTGCCAAAAAACTTTATACTGTATGACGGGCTCTCTTCAACGTTTGTTCAGGGAGTTCAATATGCGTTGATGTGGACATCCTGAAGTTGTTGAGGAGCATGTTGTTGTTCTCCTTAATTGCATACCTTGTTGTATGATGTTGCATGAAGGCGAGCAGAGCTGCTGATGCGGCTTGGCAGACCTCGTGCAGCGATGCGCGACTGCTGCCGCGCTTTGGAGCTCAATCCAGACTCTGGCAAGGAAACGAGTAATTTGCGATGCACAGCAACCGGACATTCTGTATGAAGTCATTTTTCTTGTTTCAGAGACTCCACAAGGTGACTGAAGCGTGCCAGGCCTACAAGACGCGGGCGCGGGCAAATTCAAAGCTGAAGCGCTGGACCTCTGCCCATGCAGACTTCCAGGCATTGTTCGATGGTTATAGGTACAGAGAACCCTTTGTCGCCTTGGATTGAATTTCTGTCTACACTACACAAAAAATGACGCGTCCGCAGCCTGCAGCGAGCCTGCAGCTTCCACACCCTGCAGAGGAGGGCTTGAAGATAGACTACGATGAAACTACTTATGAAGAGTCATTGACAGTGGCAAGCAAGATGAAGGCAGGATTTGGATTTTATTTGTCGGGTCCGAGTCATTTTCTGAAAGAGTTGGAGTGTTTGCAGTGCTTAGTGTAGGAGATTACAGCAGTGGCCACAGCTCGTCGAGTGAAGGAGGAAGCAGACAGGGAGCGGAAGCAGGCGCCATCTCTGAAAGAAACTTCGCACAGTTTTGCAGTTGGTTGAAGGAGAAAAGACACAGCCAGTTATCACAACCTGAAGAGTTTCACAAATCTCAACTCGCCAGAGAAGTACTTCTCGTGCATGTGGAGACTTGGAGACAGGTTAAGGAGCAGGAACTACGGGAACAACGCGCTCGACATCAGGAAGAGCAGCAGAAAGCACAGGTGCGCAAGACTCGCAGCTGTTTGCTCCATCGAAGCAAGAAATACACTTGAGAGAGGTCGACCAACTACAACAAAGGCATGCGCACCCTCATCAAACTGTATGGAAATACATGTCCTTGTTGGGCACGACTTGGAGCAAACTTTGCAGAGTGCCTTGTTTCCTTTGCTCTTTTCTCTGCATGTCTTTTCTTTGCACTTCTGCTCTGCAGCTTCTCACTTTACCTCCTTTTTTGCCTCTCCTTGTACCTATCTTGTATACGTCCCCAACTTGTGCTCTGGCAAAGAAAGTGTACAGCAGTAGTATTCAGGCTAAGAGTTTGGGAGATTGCTCCACTATTTAGTTTTCAGTGGTCACCTTATTGCGTTTGTACACCAGTGTAAATGACCACGCTTTTGGAAGACAACCGAGCGCTTTCAGTGCAATTCTTTTTGCAAGGGCATTGCACACCACAAAGAACTCATTGCTCTTTGTTTCGGATGATCCTGCACCATCCGCCCCACGTTGCAATGGACAAGAGGCAATATAAGATAGTGATAGTGTGCACAAGCAGTTGTAGTTACATATGGCACCGGACATGACGTTTGCATCACATTGGGGGACAACAGACTGCCAAGCATTGCACCCATTGTAACTGTATAGACTATATAGAGCAAAGACTGCAATGCATGTGTTGAGAAGGGACTTAGAGACTGAACTCGGCGCAGGCAAATGCTGCCCAAGCTCAAGCCGAACAAGCTGTGGCACAGGTGATGAGCGATCCTTTGCTGCGGGGTCTTCATCAGCGCGCCAAGAAGACCCTGGCCGAAGATTTGGGTTTAGGAGTTACAGTACGTAGAGAACGATTTCGTCCCAGAGTTACGTAGAACGATTTCGTTCTGACCGTGTTCACTTCAGTTCACACATATATTGAACATGTCCAGCATTCACTGAGGAATGGCTCCTCGGAATTCAGGAAACAGGAAGGCGGCAGCATTGGGAGCAAATTGAAACAAAGTTCCTTTCGGTTGGAGCCTGCCCAGAGCCATGCCACCTTTGATGTGTCCTTTTCGAGAAGGTAGGGGGACGGGGAGTAGGTGTAGTGGTTGTGGTGGTGGTAGTGGTTCTCGTAATTGTTCGCATTCTGATCGCTGTTCCCGTCGATTCCTCAGGTTACATGGCTGACTTCATGGGAGTGAAGCGCGGAGCATGCAGCAAATGCAAGCATTGCCACTCAAATGCACGGGATTTTCACGAAAGCATATTGAAGCTACGAATGACTCAGAATGACGTTGCATTGTTCGTTCTCCTTGTATTCGGATGTTTCTGGAGTCTGGAGCTACGAAAATAGTGGTTCGCGAACAAATCCTCCACATCATTGTTCTATTCTAAGCAGTTGTCAGCTGTTTCCGATTTGTCAAGGTTGGCTCATGCATTAGCACTGACATGACAAAAGCTGTACTGCACTGTACTGTTATATAAGTTCCCCCAAAACCTGAGGAATCAATCAGGCAAGCCCGAGCTTTTCTGCGTCCAGTAGCTAGTAACGGCCTACTTAATAGCTAGCTACCTACTTACTTAAGCTCCCCTCCAAAGAAAAAACTATATATATAGTTTATGTCAGAATTGATTGTCAAAACTGTTACAACTCCGTGAGTGAAGCTTTGCTTCCCGAGGCGACGTCTATTTGTGGCGACCTGTGAAGCTGAGCAGCTGAGCCGCGCGAAGCGCCCCTGTGGACTGCGTTCTTTGTGGCTGCCGTGGCTTGGAAGAGTCGAGAGGAACGCAAACGCAGATGCGAAGCCAAGAAGTGACAGTTTGAAAACATATGATTGAATGATTGATGGATTGAATGAATGAATGAACGAACCAAACGGAGAAAATTGAATTATCAATAGTTTCTCCAAACAATGCTTTCTGTCTAGAGAATCCATCAGACACGCGCACATACACAGAGACGATTTGTGCTGGGAGGTATTCAAAATCACAAAGACTGTGGATTTGTGACGGAGGCTGACCTACAATAGAAACACGCGCACCCAAATAAGCTGTCAAAAGCAGCAAAGACCACATGGTTGAGGGCCTTTTGCAGTTTGCCGCACGCATGATGAGCAAGAGCGTCTCTGCCAATTGATTAGCTGATGAATGCAATTGCAGCTGCATCACCCAATTGGAGATCAAGGTTCCCAACTTTCTAGCAGCATCTTGGAAGCAGGACTTGACAAGGGTTTTCTAGCCATTCATCAGCTCTTGGCAGGGGTATGCTTGGCTCAGACGGTTCGGAGACTGACAATTGCGCTCCAACAAGTTTGTAAATAGCTGGACCAGTCGGAGTGATGGCCTTCTTGCTTGTGCCAAACTACTTCGCCTTGCCAAAACTGTTCATACTTTGACCTTGCTAATGTCATCGAACTTCTACAGGATTTCAGACTTGAGAAGCTGAAGTTGAAATTGATGCAACTTCATATTGCTCCTGCCTAGCGAATCAAGACTTCCCCAACCAGCCCTTCAGTACGATTCGACATCACCCCAATGCCAATGAGTTATGACACCCAGCTCCAAGCTCGTCTCACAAACGTTTGGGTTTGTCATGGCTTGTCTTTACGCATGAAGTTTTATCTGCTCATCAAAGGCCAGCAACAAGCCACAGGGAGAGCGGTCATTTGTCCGGCTTAAATTCAACATCTTATTTGCACACCTTGAATGTTGCTGGACTTTGGCAACACAGGTGGTGCCCATGCGGGTCAAGCAGTCTCTTTTCAGTGAACAGATCTTTTGATCTCTTTGATCGTCCCAAAGATGTGGACGCGACATTTAGAAGCTTTGCGGCTTTGTCAAAACGTGTTGACCGGGGAATCACAGAAGAAAGTTGTGTCAGGTTTTGCTCACTGGAGGATCGTTCAGTGTACCAGGTTTATTTTCACCAAAAGTTGCCGCTCTCTGAGCAGCAGGCAATTCTCGAAGAAGACAACCCGCATTGGAAGCAGGATTGCCTGTTACAGATTCTAAGTAGAGTTTGCATTGTGCTTCAGACATTAGATGTACCATATGCATGCATCATAGAGTCTGCAATGTAGAGCCGCATTTGGTTTGCAGGAACCCTTCAAGCTTTCCAAATTCAAGCGTGTGAGGGCAAAGGTGCAACACTTCCATCACTTGACACCGCATTGAGCAGGTTCCTCACAGCATTTCGGACATCGCTGTAGGTGACGTCGTTCCGACAAAAGTCCGAAGCAGCAGAGATTCTGGTCAGCCGGGCCAGTTTATGGTCAGAGCTGTGCTTGGGACTCGACCATGCTCATTCATGTTCCCAACAGTTCTTCACAACCAAGTTCGCAGCCTTTTGGCCAGGAGTTAGACATTGCAGCGCAGATGAATGAGGAAGAGCCGAGGCAGGTGACACAATGTTTAGTCGGCGTGAGTACGACTTGGTGTATTTGAGTGCCAATGGCAAAGGCTTTGGCACAGGCCTTCTTTAAAGCTCTGCTCATTATTAACATGTTAAACTACTTCATGCAACATCATGTTGCTTTTCCATCCAAAGTGTTGCAGGTCGAAAATTGAAAATGACAAATTGCCCCGAGATGAAGGCCAGGAATCACCGCCTGCAGAAATTAAATTGTATTAAAGTCGTCAAACGATCGGATTCAGCCGATTCAGCAAAAAGACGGTCTCTAAAGCACATTCCTGTTCGCCAGATGAGCCGGTAGAGCAGTGAGGATCTCCGCGTCGAAACTGGCTTGGGAGATCTTGTATGATACTTTCTTGCTTTCTCTTTGTCTTACTACTAGCAACAAGAAGCTATTAGTAACAAGTGCCTTACTACTAGTAACAAGTGCCTTACTAGTAGTAACAAAGACGCTACTAGGAACAAGAAGCTACTAGCTTCCTTTAGACCTTTAGACATCAGGCGTCTGCAATCTGTTCTTTTTTCCATTCTTTCTTCAGTACCGCAATCCTCATGGCTTTCTTGCCAGAAGCAGTCCAGTTTAGTCAGGTAATGTCCTGACATGCTGAATTTGCCTCAACAGCTTGGACCTTCAAGTGTCAATTACACACGAGATGAAAGAATCGAACGAACAGGATAAGACATATGTAATATTGAGATCATGAGTTTGGGTTTATATATAATATGGCAGGCACATTAATGCTACTTAGTAAATTTCGTATCAAACTCAATGTGGAGTGCGCGACGATTCCCAAGCTGCAGTGCTGGGTTTCACTGGTGTCAACATGGCACAACAGCGGACCCTCCAGTTTGTCGAGACGCGAAGCAAATTCTGCGAAAAGGAAGTTGCTGCACGGTGTCTTTCCAAACTCCTTTCCCGATGTTGCTTGGCTCACACCCAAAATCACCCGAATGGTGCCATCGAATGCCATGTTTGGAGGGTAGCACATATGTGGCTTTTCTTCATGGTATCCCAACCCTGCCATCCCAAGTTGCTCAAATGCTGAGTTCTCACTCGGCTCAACAACAGCCAGGCAAACTATCGGTCTTCGGTCCCAGTCCATTTTGTGCAATCAATACCAAAGTGTGGCACAGCGAAGTTCCAGATCCTTCTGTGACAGGCAACTGCAAGACACAAGCCATACGTTCATATAGATACCAACATATTGACGTATCCATGTGCAAAATGTCATACTTTATATACTTTATCGAACAAGCACCATTCTTTCTTTATGCCGTACAAGTGCGGATGCGGCTGGTCCAGCAAAGGCGGTGCAGAGGACATGGCAGCTCATGTGAGGGGAAGGCCCCTTCATTACAAGGGAAAGGTCTCGTATGTTTTGGATCTTTGTGTTGGTTCATGTTTGCTGGTGCTTTGCCTTTAACTCTTGTGGCAAGGTTCATCTAATTACTGTACTGCAGAACTATTGATCTGGAGATGAAGATGTTCTTTGCATTTTTGATCATTATAGGTTTGCATTATTTTCACACTTGCATTTAGCTTGCGTGTGCGGGTTTTATGTTGACAAAAGTCACCAAAATGTACCACCGGGACATTTTGGCTCAAGTGACTTGCAGTGCCATGATACTGCATTTTGCGAAAAAGCGTTCCCAATCTCGCGACTACTTCCTGTCATCACGTAATGGCTTGGCAGATGGACACGGGATTCGCTGTGGTTGACGTCCGTGACGGCATGGTCATTGAGGGCGAGACGGTTGATGCAGACACACCAGTCCGGGATGGATGCTGCTGACCAGGCATCCTCTCAGATCAGCGGGAAGAGGGTGGCCATTCTCACTTGGTGGAGAATTCGGACTTGGGAACTCGCTGGACGGCTTTCAGCGGTTCATACAGCAGCCCCTGGCGGCTCCGAGCAGTACGTCCCGCTCAAAGCCATGGCCAGCAGGAGGCCATGTGGACGATGAAGTGCAGCGGGATCGCTCGGGCATGCCATCACCTTCAATGACATGCGCGCGGCGGCCACTTCCTGCTGGGCGTGCAAACTTCCTATGGCCACCTGCTACCAGCGGCCGTCCCCCACGATGAGACAAACGGGGAGACACCTCTTCCATGAGCAGGGGAGGCTGGTTTGGAAGAAAGCCAGGTGCCTCAGCACGCCCCATCTGCGACCGAGGCCAGTTGAAGGAGGCGCGCTCCATCAATGCCGGCCGTGGAGAGCTCCCAGGTTCCAGATGTTCCGCCCTCAAGCGGCGCAGGCGCGCTCAAGCTGCAATCTCTGGCTACCCTTTGGACGTGGCGTCCAAGATCGCCAACCCCCACCCTCCTCGCGGGTGGAAATGAAGGTGAGCTGTTGCGGGGCCTGCCTTGAGCTGATTTAACTTTGCGATTCACCGAGTCCAGATGGCGGCGCCGAAACGTCAAGGTCATTGCAATCCTGGAGGACAAAATTTCCGGTTTTTTGAGCAGCAAGACCATTCAGAAGGCGATGGGTTTTTCTCCGCAAGGAGATGTAGTGATGCCAGCGCCTCCCAAACGTGCTTTCGACCCTGCCACTCACCCGTGGGCATGCGCATTGCTGCGCTTGAGCTTGCTGCGCCGTGAGGGTTGTAGTGAGGCTCCTAGCCTGCATATCCTGCATGAATACAGCACTTGGGCGGGAGAGATTCTGCCTG